TATGTAGTTAAAAACAAAGTGAAGAGAATCCAAGGGAATTTGAGAAAGGAAGGAAGGAAGGAGAAAAGAAAAAGAAAAAGAAAGTATTTGGCTTGATATTGCAGTTACTAGATATTTTCCTGGTAAACAACATACCCAAGCAAAGATGCGTGTCTTTCAGTCCCCAATAAAAGGGTGCCTATAACAGTTCTGTAGGCCAATTTATGAAGAAACCTTGGCTGTGTAGGGGACCGCCAATCCTATTTCCAATAGTTCAGATGCTATAGTCTGACTGATGGAGGAGAAGGCAAGAACATTTGGGAGAAAATTTATATATGACAATAGGAAAAACTCACAGTAGACCGCCAAAACAAGTCTGCAGTTTTCCATGGTCTTGCTCATCTGCAGATTTTGCACCTAGTGGATTAGAAGTTTAAATACTGACTAAATTAAAAATTGAAGGCTTTTTGTTCGTTTGTTTGCTTGTTTTTAAGTACAATCTGATTAGAGTCCAATGATTTTAAAGACTGAATTATAAATTAAAAAACTTGAAAAAAGAGACAAAGACAGATAAAATAAGCATGCACTAGAGAGGTGCATTATATGGATTTGTCAGCATTTTACTTCCTTGAATGTTTAAAGAAATTCCCAGTGGCGTATTATTCCATCAAAAAGGATAAGTACTGTAAGAGTCATTTCACTGAGTCACTAACTGAACCTAGTATGCTAGTCTTAATGTATGGAACCAAGAATCAGTAGCCTATCAGCTAGGTTTCTTCCTTAACTCTGAAACGATTGTACTGTTTAGACTGTGGGTAATAATGCTAATGATGCCAGTGGCAGGATAAACACAGGTTGTGTCAATGTAAACTTACCGATTTCTGCTTCTGTTTAGCTACAGCAGCATGGAAAAGAAACAAAGAATAACAAAGCATGCATGTTATTGGCTTGTCAAAGGACACAGACAGCTAACAGGACTAGAAATGTGACGCAGTGCAGGTGAGCAGGTGGACAGATGGGAGCTTGCAAATTGGTGTTACCTTCTTAAAGAAGGGCATTCTTTTCTCTTTGGAGTGGGGTGATGTTACACTGTTTGCACTGGGTTTGGGGGAGCGATGGTTTGCTGGAATATCATTTTCTTCTGCATCTAAGCCAGTGGCATCTATATCTATAGCTATATACAGATAAACAATTCAAAATTATCAGATGGCAGGGAGAGGAGTAAGAGGTTAAAAAGGAAATAAAAGTAAAGAACATGAAATTGTCCAAAGTCAAAAATCAACCGTGAGTTCAGAACACAAAACTTAAAGGGAAAAATTTAAAGGTACAGTACATTAGGGTTAGAAAACACATGATGATATCTATAACAACTACTGTAACATTTTCTTTACATTTCCTTTTACAGCACTAAAAATCAGACACCAACAGATCTATTCTTCCCAAAATGATAAAATAGCCAAGTTCTGCTCTTTTTTTCATAGCATATTTCCAAAGTAACTCCAGATTCACACCAATGGAAGATAACAGAATTTGGCCTACAATATACGGATCATTTAAAGAACTGAATTAAATCAAAATGTGTCATCCTGAGCTTAACATTAAGATTTTAATATTGGGCACTTAGGACATTAAGGACAGATCTTTTTCCCTTTCTGGATATTTTAAATTCCATGAGCCAATCACTATTGTCCTAACATACTTAAAGACTTATTCACAATTATCTAAGAGCAGAATATAATTGGTAGTGACTTTTCAAAGTCTTGATTTAGCTAAAAATGTACAGTAGGCACAAGATACAATCACTGGAAATAATAAAAACACACCTACTGATAATGAACACTTATGCAAATAGCAAGGAGAAGGAAGAAAAGCTATCTATCTCAGTTATCAGAGAAGCATACTGAATTCCAATTAAAAGACCTAGTGAAGATCTGGTGAGGGTAAGATGGAATTAGAAACAATAAACCATTGCTCCTCCACCCCTCCCCACAAAACAAAATCATGTACATCATAAACAGCTTGCAAAAGAAATATTTGATGCATCCCACAGTAAGTTAGTAAGTGGAGATAATGTAAACAATAAAAAGTTATGGAATCAGATGTACATGGTTTTCAGAATGGAAAAAGAGAAAGAAAAGTCAAGTTTTCATTGTAGAGCATAGCAGAAGTCTGCCAGTTATAGCAGAAATTGTAAATTATAAGGAGAGGAACCAAAGGACCTTGGCAAAAACCCTCTCATATACTGTAGTCTATCATGAGTGTAACTACTGCATTAAATTTGTCTCCAGTGAACATCCTAAGATTATGCTAAATGGACATAGAGGATCAGTCTACCAACACCTTATGGGTACACACACGCATTTATTTTTAATACTGAGCAACACGTTAGCACTTTGGTGTGCTACAGAAATATAGCACTAAGGGAGCATACAGGCATTCCAGCCCCTGGCTGGAGAACTACAGAAGTTGCCTCAAAGGGCCAGCATTCCCACTTGGTTACTGGCAGCCAGCTCTTTCCCCTGAAAAGCAGCAACTGCCAGACAGCCCCTTGCTACCTGTAGTGGGGAGAGGTCAAGGACAAGTGCTCTCTTAGGCTAAGTACAAACAATCAAAAAGCCTGAAGTTGAAGTGATTCAGTCTTTACAGGTTAATCTGAGCTGTATAGATTGAATCAACAAGCAAGTGAACAGACGTTCACTCTTGATTCTGGAAATGCGGCTACATGCCTGCAGCGGCCCAGGCCAGAAGCCAGGGGTGCTACAGCATGCCTCCCTGCTTGGCTGGAGCAGACAACTTGAATCTGGAGGGGATCTGGGACAGAAGTTCAATAAATTTATTTAACCTAAATCAGTTAAGTCTGAAACCACATCTATCAGGGTTTATCGTAAATCAGTTTCAGACATTTTGAAAGTGGTTTATGTGCACTGAACTTCTGTTGTATTACAAGTTTGAACTGGTTGCCGATCACTTAAATCGGTTTATGTGTAATTTCTGTCCCTAGCCTTAGTAGCACTGCGCAGTCACACAGCCTCCACAGCTAGCAGATAGAGTACCAAGAGTGGCACCTGTGACAGAGTACCCTCTGTGGGAATTGTTGCCAGGTCTCCTGAAGTGGTGGTGGTGTTAGCAGGGTCCTAGCATGGTCTTTCATCACTGGATAGGCTATCAAAGAGTCAGCCTTTCTTCCCCTTTGAAGGGGTTACAGAGGAATTTAAAAAAAACCTGTGGGATGCTGGAGTTCCTATAGATCCCTGTGGCACAATATGCTGCTTTACAGACATTATAGAGTGCTAAAAAGCCAAGTTCCTCTTTCAAAGAAGTACTATTTTATAGCCCTTTTGCCTTTTTTGTAGTGCAGCAAACAGCTTACACTCAACTTTAGCTTAAACCAGGACTGTCCAGCTAGCAGCCTGGGGTTCTCATGTGACCTGTGAGTTGTTAAATTGCAGTCTATGGGGCTTGTTGGCACAGCTGCTGGAGTTGCTGCATTGCTGTAGCTCTGGAACACAGGGGGTGCAGGCCAGTGCTCTCCCCCTCACCCAATTGTCTACTCCTGAATTCTGGGGCTTTGGCTGCCACTGGCGACTAAAATAAGTGGGAGGGGAAAAGTGGGGGTGAATGATGGCTGGTTTCCATCTGCTTTTTGGAGCTGAGCCCATGCAACAGCTCCAGCAAATGTACCCACCAGCCAATGCCCCACCTCCAGAGGCAGGTTGTTAGGCCCACAAACCCCTCCTGCATCTGGATCCAGCCCACAGGGGCAAACACATTGGATATCCCTGGTGTAACCATAAACAATAACATTGACTATAATAAATTTACCCTGGTAAGCTGCATACAACTGTCTTATAGGTGAAAACACAACACTATGGGTAAGAGTGTTATCTAGTAACAGATGCCTAGATTACTAATGTGCCACTTCTGATTTCAGAGTTACCTGGGCCAAAGAAGAGAGCTCTTCTGTTTGCGTAACACACATATTCCCATTTGAATTATTTACAGATGCCATGCCAGGATCCTGATAGGCTTTTAGAAGATTATATTCCTAAATGCTCATGTTTCATATTATTTTGCCAGACATGCAGAAATCATGTAACACTCTTTCTTGCCACAGCAACCCCCACCCGCAACTTCCCTCCTCATATGAATAAAAAGAAAATATTTGCATAATACAGTCTGAAGGCACCACTAAAATAAATCAGAATAAAATGTGCGTGTTGAACTAAATCACTTGCACAATCTTTAGAACAATTTCAGCAAAAAAAAACCCATTAATTTTTCTACAAAACAAGGGGATTGTAGCAATTGAGCAGCTATTAGGCAGACAGTAACATATATGCCTAGCTGTGAATATATATGGAATGGCTGTCTCAAGTCCGACTAGGAACACTGTCAAAGTCCAACTTTCAACAAAACAAAGACATTACCAGAGATGTGTGAAATTTCAGGCTAACCTTCTTCCTACCCCAGTAAATGAAATGTTTTTCTTAAAATGAAAACTTTTGCAAACAGGATTTGACATTTTAAAATCTTCTTAAAATTCATTAAATTGTAAAAAAAAAACCCAAGAAAAATGCTGCTTGTTGGTTTTTCATTTATTATTTCGGGGGTTATTTTCCACCTCCATTTTTTATTTCTGATCTTCTTTATGTTATGTCACCTTCTTCATTGTTCTTTGCTCTTCTCTGTACCCAGTTATTATTGTCTGGTCATCACTCTCTGGTATCAGTTGTTTTCTTTCATAGCTTATCAGATCTGCGTGAATTGATTAGGATGGCAGCTCCAGAGGGACACAGTTTTACCATTTTTCATTTCTTTATTTTCATTCAGCTTGTTTGATTTTTAACTTCTGCTTTAGATTGGTCAGTTTAATTTTATATATAATTATACATATATACATATACATATACACACATACATATATATATCTACACATATATATACATATATGTGTGTATATATGGGCGCATCTACAAAATGATGGTGCAGTAACAGACCATGCTGCTCCATGCCAGTGGCGCATGGTTATTTTTAGCTACCATGTCACCATAGTGATGCGCTATACCAAGGGAGCGTGTTACTACGGTGACATAGAGGTGGTGTCACGGTTTTTGCCCGCAGACGCTACATTGCAGTAGTGGGTTGCTACAGCTACATAGTGTCACTGTGTAGTTGCACCTAGTGTGTGCACATTCAAAATTGAAAAGTGAGATTAACTCTTTCTACTTTACATTTCTCCACATCAAAGGGAACTAATATATATGCCTGCATCATTTTAACTCTATCCTGGGCAGAGGAATTTAAAGAGCAGGAGTACTACAAGTCAGAACTGAGATGTCCAAGAAGACCTAGCTGAGACAATATATAGGCTGTGTGACCAAAACTATGCAATATTATCAATTCCACTCTTCAGTACATTTTAGAAAAAAGAAAAAAATACTCTCAAAATAAAATCTTAAGATTTCCAGCAAGCAAATATACATTATTCATGACTATTTCTCCCAATCCTCAAAAAAGAAAAAATGAAATGCGAGTAAAGCCACTATACCACTGAATTCTATATAATATTCTGGGAGCATTACTTAAGGTAGTTCAGATAAATGGAAATCAATTTGCTGACCTGCTGCACAAATCTCCTTAGTATACAGTGGATGACAGTTTTCATCTGAAGAATTACATAACACTGTAGATGAAGTCTAGCTGGCATAAAAATACACACACGCACATCTTATAATCCACCACCAAAATGGTAGAAAGCAGAAACCTCAACAATAAACATTACACTACAGAGCCCTAACACAACCAAATACCTACTCATGAGCTACAGCACAATAACCGAACTGGCTGCATATTGGTAACTGAAGAAACACATATATTTTCTAAGTAACAGACAGAGTCAGACAGGGAACTTAAGTGGAAATTAGCATTAGCTCCAGCACTGGAAATAATGTAGTAATGAGTGCCACCCTGCACCCAGACTAATTATCTTTAGTCTAGGTACAGCACAACATTAAAGCACCTATGCTGCTTCTGGTTCTATATGTCCCTGTACGGTGCTGCCTTGTGCAAGTATATTAACTAGTATGTCAACAGCCAACTTGGGGACTGCTTCGTGGCACTGCATCATTTCATGTAGACATACCTGCAGACAATTTAAAAATGTTAATATCATTTGATTGAGCTGTAATTTAGCCTAGACTTTACCTATGCTTTTGATAAACACACTTCTTTCACCTCTGCAAATAACGGCTTTTTAACAGCTGTAGTCATTTTCATTGATCTCTATCTTCATGGACTAAAGCCTTCTGTTTTCCCTCAGCCAAAAGATGAAACATACAGTAATACAGCAGCTGAATCATTGATTTAACTGAAGTATAGATCTTTAAATCCAAGAAAGTTTTCACTAATTGAGATGGCAGTGAGAATTATTTTGTTGCATGCAGATGCCTAGGGAATCTTTTTGGAACACTTTTAAAAAAGATGAAGTGTCCCAGTTTTCTTTAATTGAGTAGTTATTGTTAGTATGCTAGTGCAACTCAAAGTGCACTGGCTTAATATCTCTTGAACATAATCTAAATTAAGCTCAAATTTGTTTGGTAGTGCTCTAAATTCAAGCAGCACTTATGAAAAAGAATCATCACAAAAAGGTAAGGCAACTGATTGCTAGAATTTAGTCAAGATCTGCTGTGTAAAATTAAGTTCTTGCTTATGAAATCATGCTATTTCTGGTGCTAACAAGGTAACCACACAGGCCTTTTTATTTCAACTCGGCATCTTCTATTTTCCTATATTAGAACATTATCCATATTTAACAGGAATTGGTTAGGAAAAAAACCTTTGACTGTCTTAGTTAAGACAGCAACAGATGAAGGACAACTTTGTAGCACAAAAACCCCCAAAAGGTGAAAAGCAATCAATTTCATTATTTTCCGCCTAACCTCATGTCCTTTTCTCCTAATTTCACCATAACAACATGGCAGCGTAGTAAAATCAAGGCAATAGTTAAAAAAATTCAGTAATGACCATTCATTGTGTGAACTAGCCCATGGGAATGTGCTAATTCCCTTATTCCTAGAACACACAGACAGACCAATCTCATGTGGCCACACAACTGCCTGATACAGTGTCAATAAAGAAAGAAAAAGAGAAAATTAATTCATCTCATTTTAAAACATATAATGCAATACACTGTAAATCTTAAAGGAGTAAATGGACCAGTTTGTAAACTAAGTTTTTTTTGGGTAAATCTGATATCTTTTATTAGACCAACTCAAACAGTTGGAAAAGTTTTTTCATTTTGTAAACAGAGGTTTCTAAAGGCTAATGACCTACTTACCAGATGATGGAGGCGTTGATTTTCTGGAGCTAGGTACTATGTCACCCAAACTGGATGATGAGTTTCCTCCTGATTTACTGGAGTGAAACAAAAAATAGTTTTTAGTCAAAACTCATGGTCTTATTAGGCACGTAGTCTAGAATGTATTTATTAACTTTCTTTCAAATGAGTCACTAGCAAAGAGACAGGCAGTATTTCCGATCATGATAGAAATTTATAACTTGGCAAAATGTGTGCATCCTTTAATGCTTCATTGTATCAGCTAATTCTGCTGGCAGCTGTGGCTACCCAGGTAATGGCATGCAGGACTGGAATAGTCACACATCAAAATGCTAAATAGAAATGACTACCAACCAGAAGCTCTACACCTTGTACAGCATTTGCTGAGGTATTTCCAGTGGTCAGTAACCAGTATCTGGTAAGTCTCAGTTCTTTTCAAATTGATCAAATACACCAATGATCAAAACAAAATTACCAACAATTATGATGGAAAGAAATCAAGTGAAGGTAATATCTCAAAACAAGCAGAAAAGAAGAATTACAGGTAATACATTTTCTTTTTCTCCAAATAAATGTGAATTATAACACAGCCACAATATAAAGAAAGGAAGTATAAAGATTTGTTGGATCTCCAACAAATGGAGTATCCAGAAAACTTGTTTAGTATTAACAGAAACAAATATTTGCTTATAGAAGAACTACATCATTAAGTAGCAATATCAAAAATGACATATGTACCTAGAAGAATTGAATAATAAACTGGTTAACTCATCAAAACACACAGCAATTAATTATTGGACAGGAGTAAATAAGAAATAAATAGTTTATGCAAGAAATGTTTAATGCGAGATTGGCTGCATCTTCTCCAGAAGCTTCAGTGCTAGTCAGCGTGAGAGATAGCATGTGTGTTTGGATTGACCAGTGGTCTGAGATAATTCCTATATTTCTATGTATATGAAAAATTGCCTACATTTTCCTAAGACTTTAGTATTCTCCAGATAAATATCTAAGAATCTTTCAGAGTCAACCTTGTATGAAAGGACTTTGACTCATACAATAGGCAAATATGTACATGGAAACTGACAGGATGGACATGAGGCTAATATCTGTACAATAACTGACTGGTTAAGCTGTAAATCATAGAGAAGCTGGGGTAAGCAGGTATGGGGCCCACTGCTGAAACCCTTGGTACAGAGCCCCATTGAAGGAGGCAAGAAATGGCAGTGTTAAACCCCATGGATCCTTAATGCCACTCACTTGACCACTGCTTGCCCAACTGCCAGAGAAAGGTCCAGACCTCGGCCACAAGGAGGCAATCCAGGGGGCCAAACCAGTTTGACAGCCCTGCACTAGAGCATGGGGATCTTCTGTGGTATTTAAGAGGAACAGCTGCCCTATATAATTTCCATTTGTTCTTTATGTGACTTCAAAAGTTCCTAAAAAGTAAGAATTCAAAACATAAATGCTAACGTGAACGAGTTAAAATTAGAGCGTGACCAACAACCAACGCACATTATTGTTATGAAATGAGTGACCCAATCATCTTCATTTCAATCTAGGCTACCTGATAATTTCCTCAACAGAATAAGAGAAATCAATCACTATACAGGTTAAGTTCCAACATGTTTTCCTTACTTAAAGTATCTCTAGGTGATAATCAGGGATCCTGGTTTTCTCTGTTTAAATATTGCAAGTTCTCTGATTTTTAAAAAAAATTGCAAGTTCTCCATTAAAAAACCCCAAATCTGAGATTAAAATTAAATGCCACATATATTAATTGAATACCATGTTTTATTGATATTTACAGTTTTAAAGCAATTTGGAAGCCTACCTCAATCACTATAATAAAATAAATTCTAAGTACCTATAACCTTTGGTATTTGATTTTGGGTTTTTTATCATGGAAAAATCAGAGCTCCCCCTGCCCCCTTTGCTCACAAGGACATAGGTCCAGGCCCCTCACTCCCAAGCCAGAGCCCTCCAGCCTTGCTTGTATCTCTCACTCCCCACTCACAGCCCCCCACTCATCTTGGCACCCTCACTCCTCAGCCACAGCCTCCTACCCATTCTGGTGCACCTCACTCCCCACCCACAGCCTCCGCCCCCCACATCTCTGCTAGAGGGGGCCCTCAACCACCAGCGTTATGGGGCCAAGAACCCTGGTCTGCAGCCGCAGCCTCCTCCTGCCCCCTGGCAGCAACACTTGAATCCTGACTGCTGCCTGTGGGAGGCAGCAGCTGCTGCAGCAGAGCAGAGCACAAAGCCCAGCTCTGCCCCCCGCCCCCCCCACAGGTGGCACAGCCGAAGTGAATCCCATCGGGGGGGCGGGTGTGGGCTGGTCACTGCAGGCTCAGACTTCCCCTGTGCTGCCCTTTCCCCCAGGGCCTCCAGGGCCCAGCAGGCAGGACCCTGCATGGTAGGGCAGAGCAGGGCTGAGCAGGGAAGCTCATTGCTATTGGGAGCCCCATGGCCCTATAGCAAGCTGCCCCCTCCCTGTCCAGCAGCAGCCAGGGGTACAACTCTGTGCCACTGCCCCCACTGCTGCCTGGAAGGCAGGGTGTGCCTCATCAGGGTAGTGCAAGGCTTTCAGCAGCAACAATCGTCCCCGCCTGGTTCTGCCCTGCTGCACTGGGTCCTGCCCACTGGGCTGCAGAGGCCCCAGGGGGGCAAGCTCGCAGCAGGCAGCCCACACCCACTCTCAGTCCAGCCCAGCACAGAGATCTGGGAGGTCTGTGTCCCCTTGCTGCCCTGCAAGTGCACAGTGACAGGGAGCCAGCTCCATCCCCCCTGCACAAGCTCCCCACACAGCCCCATCCTGCTCCCCACCTAAGCCCTGCAGCGTTGCAGTCCAGCCTAGGGCCCCAAGCCCCATGCACTACCCCAGCTGGACAGCAACAGCAGCCCCAGCCCTTCCCAACTTCCTCCCTCCATCCCTATGGGGACTTCAATCCCACCTTGACCTCTGCCAGACTTACCTGTAGGTGCTGTTCTCTGGGCTGCCTGGCAGCCATACGCATGTGTGAGTGCACACATGCAAATGGTGCCCCGTGCCTGACCCCCTTCTCCCGCTCCCCCCAGCCCCTTGCAGGCTGGAACTCTGCCAGCCTGAAGAGAGCTCTTTGCAAAAGTGGAAAATCTGCATGTTTCTCTGTTAAAATGAAAAAGCCACATTTTTCTTGGTTAAAAAAGAAAATCCCTCGGTTTTTTTTCCAATGGGAAATGGAAAACCCATATCCCTGGTGATAATTACATTTATTAAAGAGTAAAGTACAGAAATAGTGGATACTTAGATTCTTCATTTCTGATTTCTTAGCTGTCACAAGGATAATACATATATACATAATAAATATCTTTAAGTACCTGGAGTAGAATTTTCCTTGCTTTGCTCTTTGTTCATGCTGTAGCCTCATGTTTTCTAATTTGACTGGACTTGGTATGAATCCTATTTCACAGCCTTCTTTTACCAACCGGCCTATCCACCAGTCATTGTTAAATTTCTAAAAAAGAAAAAAGAAACAAAAAATACATTTATTAAAAAATCAATTACGTTATAAATTAATTTTGTTCTCATTTTTAAATTTTCAGTCAATTCTTTTTTAAATAATTCTCTTTGCTCTTAGTCACTGTATTACATTATCATGTAATAGTAATGAAGAATCCTGGAAATTTGCAGAAACACATTTTAAAAAAAATTATAACTTGCAAATGATAAAATGTTATTGTACTAAATCACAAACTTGCCTTTCTAATCATCACTCTTCTTAATCCTCCCACCACACTAGCTTTATCTCTTTATTTTACAGACTGCTCTCTCTAACTATTCAAATGGCAGTGTTCCTTCTTTTTCCCTGCACCTTGGTTTCTCAATGGCGGACACTAGATACTTCTTCTATATTTCTATCCCAATCACCTGTAACAATTTTCAAAGCCTGTCTCAAGCAGCTGCCATGAATTTTATGTTCTCACAAGACTAAAGTCTTTACATAAAATATAATAACCTTATTTTCACATTTGAATGTGCAGTTATCTGTCAAGAGACTTTAATTTAATTTAACAAAATGATCAAGGGCTTGAAAGGCAAGTCATCTAAGGAGAGGGTAAAGGACCTAAGCATTTTCAGCTTGCAGAAAGGTACTTAAGAGGGCACATGATAGCAATCTTCAAATACATGAAGGGATGCCATATAGAAAAGGAAAAGCACCTCTTCTTTCTTGCTGCAGAGAGGAGGATGCAGGTCAATGGTTTCAGTTGTAGCAAAGTAAATTTAGACTGGATAGCAGAAAAACTTATTCACTGTGAGAATAGTGAGGCAGTGGAACAGACTGCCTGGAGATGTTGTGGACTGTTCATCACTGGAGGTGTTCAAGAAGAGGTTGGACAGCCACTGGTTGGGGATGTTCTAGCCGTAGCTATGCCTATTTTCTACAATGAGTATTTCCCATGCTTCTGAGCTTTACTGGTTGCTCCTGCTGCCTCCCTCCCTTTTTCTTCTGCAATGTGTGTAAGGTTGGCAGGATTTGATTTTTTTATTGGTAAAGACTGATAAATGTGGATTTCACCTCACACTCACAGACACATGAAAAAATATTTCTATCTTTAATAATCAAAAAGAGAAGAGAAAAACAGAAGGGAGTCAGACTGGAGTACAGAGGGCCCAGTCTCTTTAAAGAGAAAAATAGCGGTCAGCCTAATGACTCGTTAATTAAGCAATTAGCTGCTCATTCCCAGGTGCTGAGAAGTAGGCTAGAGGGAGATAACAGGGTACTTAAATCCCTACTGGAAGCCCAGAGGGGAGGAAGGGGGAGGGACAATATTTGAGCCAGACGGGAAGCAGCAGCTGTAGAGAAAGGTGCAAAGTAGTGGCAGGGAGTTCCGGACACCTGAGTGGGACAACTCAGCCGCAGACAGATTGTAAAAAGATGTGAAGCCACCTACTGGTGATATTGCTACATAGAGAGAAAGACTCCAATTAGAAAGGATACAAGTTTTGGTGTTTTCTTTGCCTTTTTGTTATTTTTTTTGCATCTTGGGGTGGAAGATCTTTATGTTATTCATTTAATTTAAATCAATAAAAATTGAAATCAATGGTTAAAAATGAGCATCAATTTTATCCATTAAAATTGTATTAAAAATCAAATTCTACCAGGCCTATATATGTGTCAGGGTGTTTTAAGCCTCTCCATAGGCATTGGGTGTTGGCTACAGCTAGGGCTGGGGACTTCAATTGGGGTGTGCTGATTCTGCCGCTAGGAGCAAAACCCAGAAGTGCTTGGCTAGAGGGTCTTGCCTCTCTGCTCAGGGTCAGACCAATCACCATATTTGGGGTCAGGAAGGAATTTTATCCCATGATCAAATTGGTATGGGCT